CTCCCCAGGACGTGACACAAGCACCAAGGCTTTGCCCTCCCTGCTGCTTAGTGACTGGTCATTAGTCAACGAGTTTGCCTTCCTGTGAAACTCCACTTCCACTGAGCTCTAGGACAGCTTTGGCTAAAACCGTTATATAAAAAGTTAAATCTCTTGAACCTGCTAGCTTTTTGCTGAAATCATTAATCCGTCTCTCTGGCTACGTAAAACCAGTCTGTCACATTCACCGGGGAGTCAGCTTGGATTCTGAGTGGATTTGCAGGGAAGGCTTCGTGGACATGGAGACGAGTGAATGAAGGTGCTCAGGAAACGCCGAGCAAACATACATGACCTGTTTTCACAGGGTTGCTTTATTTCTTGATCTAAGAGACTATGCTTTGCCTATGACCAAAGAGGCCTGCTTTTCCCCCATATACACATCAATTTCTTCAATGGAAACACATCTTATAAAACATCCTATAAAACACATTTTTACTTTGAAGGAAAGCATAAACCAAGGAATTCAGGATTATGTAAGCTGTTCTCCCTATCAAGAGCATTAGATTAGCTTTGGTCTTTAATCCTAAAATGTATAAAGTCAAACATCATAAATTAGGCTTGATGCCTAGCCTAAGATATGAAATTATGAACATCAGACGTGTAAAGGTACATGTGGTTATGTTTAACCTACCAATAGAATATTATATTTTCAAACTACTTCTTGCTTGCCTGTTGCCTCTGGGGAATGGAGAGAACTTTAGCGTGGTCGATACTCACTGGGATGAAGAGGGAGGTCAGGAGGAGCAATAGCCAGGAGGGAAACCAAATTGGGCTTTTTTTATGTGAGAGAGAAAGAATAAAAAGGAGCTCTTTTGATTCCTAGCAAAGTGGAATGACATGCTTCGCTTTATTTTTTCAAAAATTTCTAACTAGAATCAGCTGAACCAGGGAAGTTATAATAATAAAAGGAGATGAGGTCCTGCCCTAGAAGAAGGGAAGAGAGAAAAAGAAGACAGAACTTGACTATGACATAATCAAGTGATTATTGAAGTAGAATACATTTGGTGACTGAAGAGGGTAGGAGGTAAGAAAAGTCAAGAATGGTATCTAGCCCGGCTGGCGTGGCTCAGTGGTTGAGCGTTGACCTAGGATCCAGGAGATCGAGGTTCGATTCCCAGTCAGGGGCGTGCAGGAGGCAGCCGATCAAAGCCTGTCATCATTGATGTCTCTTTCTCTCTCTCCCTCTCCCTTCCTCTCTCTGAAATCAATAAAAATATATTTTTAAAAAAAGGAATGATATCTAAGTTCTGGTTCGGAGGGAGGTCTGGTGATGGTGATGGTACAGCCATTAGTTGATATCCACTAGAGGTGGGCAAGTTGGATGGGGAGATGAGATAAATTTTGACATGTGGAGTTGGAGGTGCCATGAGACCTCCAGATGCCCAGGAGGCAGCTGGAGTATGAGCTTGTAGCTGAAGAGAAAGGTCTATTCCATTGTACAGGTATAACACACTGTCTACCCATTCATCAGCTGATGGGCACTTGAGTTTCCAAGTTTGGGGCTATTAACAATAATGCTCCTATGAATATTAACGTACAAGTTTGTATGAACAAGTTTTCATTTCTCTTGTATATTATCTGGGAGTAGAACTGCTGTGTTAAATGGTAACTCTAGGTTTAACCTTTCGAGGAATTATCAGCTTTTTAAAGTGGCTGCACCATTTAACATTTCTACCAAAGGATGAGCGTTCCACCTGCACTTTTTTTTTTCCTAGTCATCACAGTGGGTGTGAAGTGCTAGCTCACTGTGGTTTTGATGTGCATTTCCCTAATGACTAATGAGCATCTCTTCTTGTGGTTTTAGTCATTTGTGCATCTTCTTTGTACAAATGTCTATTCAAATCTTGTGCAACTTTTAAATCAGATTGAGTTATAAGAGTTCTTTAGATATTCTGGATACAAGTCCTTTATTGGATAATCTGCAAATATTTTCTCCCACTCCGTCTTGTCTTTTCATTTTATAAATTGTGATTTTTAAAACAGAAAACTTCTATTTTGATAAAATATATTTTCTCTTTTCCTTTGGTTGTATGTGCTTCTGATCTCGTATCTAAGAAAACACTGCTTAACCCATGGTCACAAGGATACACTCTTTATTTTCTTCTAGTTTTTTGGTCTTACATTAAAGTCTCAGATCCATTTTGGTTCTTGTATGTGGTGTCAGGCAGTGGATGTATTGCTTTAACATTTGCTCATTTCTCTCGGGACAGAGGACTGGCCCCAGTGGCTCAGGCTCAGAGCTGTGGAAAGGCCCCAGCAGCATTTGCTGAGAGGTCAGATTAGGCCAGAGAGCTGGGTGGACCTCTGGTCACACACAGCCTTGTATCCTACACATAAAGGGTTTGAGCCTGTAGGAGCAATGGAGAGACGGGGCGGGGTCAGATCTGTGCACTGGCTGCAGCGTTGGGAATGGGGCAGGACTGGAGACCTGTTGGAAGCTACAGCACTAATTCAGAGGAGATGATGGCCGATTAGGGAGGTGGCAGTGAGCAGTGAGCACGAAGAGAAGCGAAAAGATGCGAGAACGTTCGAGGATGTAGAATACGGAGAGAACACTGGATGACATAAAGAATACAGCCTTTAGTCCACACAAGGTATGAGTAGTCACTGGTTTTATTGAGCAGCTCAAGCTAGTTCTGCAGGCAACTGTTAGAGTTCCACACAGCTTTTGAGCAACGTGCAGCCTCCCACAACGGCTAGTAGTACACATTAATGTACATATTATTCTTTGTGAAAAGTGGAGTTCACTAAATGCATTCACCTTTCATATACTTACTTGCAAATAATAAAACAATATAGGCTTTTCAGTACTTTAGCCTAGGTTTCTGCTCGAGGAAGTCCAAATGTGTGAGGTTAGCTTGTTTACTGATTCTGGTCTATAAAAATGGGAGGTCTCAAAATACCAGGAAGTTTATTCATAGCTAAAAATAACAAAAAGATTTCTTATTCTCCTGAAATAGAAATTTTATATTTCCATAGTCAAAATAATAAACAATTTTTAAGGTTTTTAAAAAAAATTAGTTGAGAATTTTGATGAAATTCATTTATTTCAGTAGAATAAAAACAATAAGCAGCATGAAAATGTAAAGTGCTACATAAAAGCCCCACAATACATACAATTTGAAAGGTTTCATTTGCTTAAACAGTTACAGGTGAAACAGACATTATATATCTTTTCAAGCATGCTATTTTAACTACCTTGGTATGTAGGCATGTGCTATGTTTGGCCAAAGAAAAAGTCACAGAGTTACCTAAATCGGATGACTGGGGAAAGAATGAGTCCTAAGCCTTTACCTGCCAGGTCATACATCTGGTTTTGACCTTATGCTGTACATAAAGGGTTAAAGTGGGGTTTTAAAATAAATTTTCTGAAGAGGCCCATGAAGTGGGGATATGAGTAAGAATGGCCCCAAAGATTGATTTTGCTCATGAACTCCACAATGGGGACCAGACTGACAACTTAAGGATTTTTAAGTAACTTACTTGAGCTGAAAGGGAAGGAGCATAAAAGATGCCAATTTCAGATATGAACATCAGGTGCTAAAAATTAATCCCAACACAAACAAAGAAGGTGGTCTGTCAGTTGACAGGTGAGGGAAGAGAGGCTAAGCGGATAGAAAAGGATCTGTACAATGTAAAATCTTCTTGGCTTAATCAATTTGAAAGTATAGGCACATCCCGTGGAAACATGCAACAAGATCACATAGCTCCAGAGGCTGGCTCAGGTGTGGCTGAGAGGAAACGAGGGAAGACTGTTCCTAGCACAAGATTAATCTCTGCATAGCCTGAGAGCACAGGGATTTCTTCTCCGGCACCTTCCAGGGTCAGTGACCTCTCATTAGGAGACCACTGATGACTGAACCAATATTTCTAATATCTTATGTTCTAAACCAAGACTTCAGAAATGCATTTTCTTATGGTAATAAAGTCATAAAATGGTAACCTATAATTTTCCTAACATACGAGGTCTTCATAAAGTCCTTGGGCTTTATAGACTTTACCACCTTCAGCTGCAGATATTACAGAAACAATCTGTAAACACTTTTACAATGCTCATTTATTAAAGTTTAAGACAACTGTGCATTATATCATAGTATACAATATACTCTTATTTTAAATGCAGACATAAAGGAAAACTGGCTATGAGAGAGACAGAAATTGTGTGACAGTTAAACGAACTAAAGTCCCATAGCAGGAGTAAAAATTAAATTTGCCTTTAAAATCATTTCACAAATTGTTTCTATCTTGCCCATAATTTCAGTTAGTTAAAACCGTGTAAGGACTTTATGGATACCATCCCCCCAAATATTCAAGATACATTATGGACTAACTTTTGTGGACTGGTCTAGAACTTAAACACCATTTACAACATTGAGTTGTAAAAAAAACTAGTTTACAAATGCACCTTTAGAGTGTAACCTATTTGAAAGCTGGGGGCTGCCTGAATTTAAAAATTAAGTCTTTACTAATAATACTCTCAAGAGTGCCTTCAATGTTGCTACTGAACATACTGAAGGCAAAGTTTCTCTATGATTATATGTTCTCACTAGGTATTATGATGGTGGATTTATCTACTAGAGTCTGTGGAGCTAGCTAGCACTATGTTATATATTGATTTTGCACTGAAAATTATTTCTTGGGCTTTGGTTAGGTGGACAATTCCATGTAAAGGTTTTTCTAATTTCTATTACTATCTCTTGGGCCCTGAGCTTTTCTATTAATATGGTACAAGAAATAGTTCAACATTATGCATATTCCAGAATAATTAAATTTATAGTGATTACAAAGCGAGGCATATATACATCTCAAAAGATATACAATTCAAAGCAGACTAAACATTCAAATCTTAAGATATTCCCACTTAACTTCTGGAATAAAATGAAGTGATTTCCTGGCTTGAACCCTTCCTTCCTTAAAACAAAGATCTATGGAGGACTGTTTCCTCTTTTTCTTTTTAAATCTCATGTGCTCTTTGCAGAGAATGGTTAATAGCATATCAAAGCGGTTACAAGGCATATTCCCTCTTCAAGTAACATCGAGTAACCAAGATGTAACCTTATTTCTTCATAAATGTTTGACAAATAGTAAGTTTCACTGAAAATGTTTAGGACATAAAGCATGTCACAGAATGGGTAATCCCAACATGTTCCCCATGAATGGCATTTTAAGTAAGTTATTGGAGGGTTTTTACTTTGCCTCTTCAACTCTTATCCCTATATCATTCTACATAAGTAGAAACAGAGTACTCAATAAATGATATTGAGTAACTACTAATACTCATTGGAACTTAAAACATCATCTTTTATCCAAAAATTTAAGAGTTATACAGAAAACTATCACAAATTTACATAAAAAGAAACTGAGGCATGAGAAATAATAAATTATTTCCCTGTAAAGCAGGTAATACAGTGAGACAAGGGACTTGACTTCTAGTCCCTTAAACTAAGCAGGACACACAGTCTGAATGTCTAGCTATATTTATACTGAATTTATAAGGATCAAAAAAGGAATGAAGGGTAAATACAAAATAAATTTTTTGTAAACAATTCTTAGATTATACCCAATGAAGAATGTTTAATGAAGCAGTTGAGTCACAGCTCTTAAGACACCAAATAGCATTATAACTCAAAGTCAAATATGTACTCATTGGCCAGATATATTCGTCGGAATATTAGCGCTGCCAGTGCCAAAGTCAAGATGACGATGAGTACAGCAGATCCGCCATGATCAGTGTGGTTGTCTCTTGGCTGCTGGCCCTGGATCACTTCTGGTGAGGCAGACGACCGTCTTTGACTCTGCTGCTGGGCCCTGCGCTGTCGAGGACTCATGGAGGTGTTCTTAGCTACAGGTTGGACAGGCTGTTGAAGGGGTGGTCCTGAGGGGTTCTGCACAGCATACTAGGGAATTTTAAGAAATTTTGTTTGAAATTGGCAAAGAAAACTTATACATATACCTGTTATCTATTCAAGAGTACAAAGAATCTCAGAGCACTAAACATGACTGAAGGCGAAACTACCAAGAATTACCTAACTGTTGAGACTATTAATTCACCCTTCAGAGTAAGCCAGCAACACAACTTATTCCAGATTTTCACCAGACTGAGGAGGAATTTACCAGAAACAAATAAGGATAGAATTTACCCACATTCTCCATAGATGGCTTTCTACGTTCCCTCAGCTGCAACTCCAACAGAAATCTGCTACGCATCTGGGCACTTCCCTTTTTCAGGAGAGTCACAGAGAGAAGCAATTTGATTTCCACTTTCTGCTTGAAAATTTGCCATTCTAAATGGCAAAAAAGGCAACTCTCAACAGTGTACCTCTCACGAACGTTTCTTTCAATATTATCTTACTATGTCAACATGCTTCCACCAACAACCAGAGAGCATAGAAAATAATTTGAAACCATATATTTTTCACAGTAATATTGTTGTAAAAATTAGATGTAGTTTTCCAACCAGGCTTATCCTTTCTCACAATTCTTGTCAAATGAACACAAGTCTACAAGAACCCTTTACTGTATATTTGAATTGTGTTACTTTATGTGATATCAAGAGTTCCTTAGGTATGTACTGAGAAAAATTTGGAGGTAGTTGTGGGAGACTCAATGTACCCTCTACTTTGGCACACTAGTTGCCCCCCATAAAGCACTGGATGTCAAATGCTTTCTATCCTTTAGTGACTGCTCCATCAAAGCATAACCACAATGTGGTACCAAGTGAGTCAAATCTTAATTAAAGTTTATAAACAAGAAAGCTCTTTAATATGAATTCCATTTTATTTATATAGATACGTTAACTCTACCTGTAATAACCCAGTGCCTTTAATTCTTTTATTGAAAACAAGTTTATACTAATTATATTAGTGCCAATACACATTCTTTCAAATAAAAAAGAATGCATTTTTTTTTCAGAAAAACTTTAAAAACTGAGCAATATAAAATATTTTAAATACTTTCCATTAGAGAAAAATTTAATATTTAGAAGAAAAAATAATCAAATAATATAATTCAAATACTTTTTTTTAAAGGTGAGAGGATGAGCTTTGTGCTGGCAATAGCTATAAACATTAAGGAAAAAATTGCTCTTCTCAGATACCTGCAGAAGAAATTACATTTAAATCTGACATTCATCTCAGCATTAAAAAGCTTAAATAATCTTTATTTCTTAAAAATATCCTTTGGAAGCACTCTAATGTTGTGACCCATAAGACAGCTAGAAAAGAACTACTGACTTTGAGTTTAAAATGTTAGTGCTGATACTGAATTATATACTGCATGAACTTGGACTTCCATACTCCAGGTCTCCCAGGAGCAATCTGCTCACTGAGGAGAGCAGGTACACAATGCTGCAGCATTTTGTGAGGTCTTACATTGTCGCAGGTGTCATATTGTGACTTAATACTCATTGAGTTGAACTGAGTCACAGTAGCCAATAAAATTCCATTTGAAATCTCCCCTTCTTTCAATTGTTCAGCCAAGATAAAAATATCTGATAGAGCAAAAGTACTCAAGGCTTAAAGGAAGATGGGTTCTTAAGAAACGAAAAAACATGTGGTCTATGAATCCAGAAACTAGCACAAGAAACTGACTCACCTTGAAGCTTTATTTTATGTATGTTATTCTCCCATTAGTTGGAGGGTGAACATTACTCTGCCGGTATGCCTGACTAACACAGGGAGCCTTGTCATTGTCAGGCTGGCTTTCCACTTCGTAAACACATGACCCTAAATAAGTCATTTAATCTGACTCAGGTCCCACATCTGTACAATGAGGCTAATATACAACTTAGCAGTTGTGAGAATTAAACAAAATAATGATATAAAGTGCTTAGGATACACAATTGCTTGTTAAATGCTAGTTATTATTAAAATTACTATTAATATATTCCTTTGGGGGGCACCAGATTTAGGTTAAAAAAATGTCATGACTTTACTTAGGAGAATTATTTGGACCTTTATCAGTATGATTAATATAGTTAGAACAACAATCCCTTAAAACATTGACTTTAAATGATATTTTAGTACATACACTTAATGGAAATATTTATATAGATATACTGCTTTAATTAGGTTCTATATTTCTGATGCCTTTTGGATAATACATTACTAAAACCTAGTGCTGCAGTAGTATAAAATTCTAAAATTTCTCCTATTTAAAATAATCACATCAAGGGGAAACTGTAACAACCCAAGGTTATAGATCCTGAGAAACCCAGTTTATTTAGAGTTGAAGGACTAATTGAACTAAATTTTGGCAGTTCATATTGAACTGCCAGATAGAGAATCAAGTTGGCTTTAGCATTTTCAAAATGCTTTAGGATTGGTGGTAGGACTTCTAAATCTTTGCTGTTTGCCTAAACTTGTTAAAACGCATATCACAGAATAAAGATTTAAGTTATAATAGTTTCCATTCTCTTAAATAAGATGAAGTAGCCATTTCTGCTTGTTGACATATTAACCAGAACTGGTATCTATGAAATAATTCTAAGTTTTATGTACTTTAAAATCAAAATTAAAAATACTACTGTTATGATAACATTGTTTATGCTATCTAATTTACTTAAACTTCTTGATTTCTTGGTGGATGAATGTGATATTTTATTTAATTTAAATATTTTTTAAAAATCACAGTCACAGATACGTCACATAAATGTTTCTAAAATAACCTGGAATAATCACCAGCTCAAGGGTTTTGTGTTCACTTTTTAATACAAAATGGAATGGCTTACTCAGAACCTCAATCCTTGGAAAAAGGAAAGAATCTGACACATTGGAAAATCATAAAACTACCATCAGTATTTTTCCCATTTCTACATAGCTAAAAAATCTGCATCAACAAGCAACAGATGGTCTAAAGTTATCTGCTGTATTTAGACTTTCAGCAATCTCTCGCCCCCTCAAGGCTAAGAAAACAGCTTATCTGGGATTTGATGTATAATATCTCAGTGAATTTACATTATACTTGCATGTAAAGCACCCTTAGTCACAACCAGGTTTCAGTTACCTCCATATTGATCAAATTATATAATCACACTCTGAGATTTGTATGTAAACGTAATTAAAGCTTAATTCACAATTGTAGACAACTTATTGCTTGTTGACATATTAACCAGAACTGGTATCTATGAAATAATTCTAAGTTTTATGTACTTTAAAATCAAAATTAAAAATACTACTGTTATGATAACATTGTTTATGCTATCTAATTTACTTAAACTTCTTGATTTCTTGGTGGATGAATGTGATATTTTATTTAATTTAAATATTTTTTAAAAATCACAGTCACAGATACGTCACATAAATGTTTCTAAAATAACCTGGAATAATCACCAGCTCAAGGGTTTTGTGTTCACTTTTTAATACAAAATGGAATGGCTTACTCAGAACCTCAATCCTTGGAAAAAGGAAAGAATCTGACACATTGGAAAATCATAAAACTACCATCAGTATTTTTCCCATTTCTACATAGCTAAAAAATCTGCATCAACAAGCAACAGATGGTCTAAAGTTATCTGCTGTATTTAGACTTTCAGCAATCTCTCGCCCCCTCAAGGCTAAGAAAACAGCTTATCTGGGATTTGATGTATAATATCTCAGTGAATTTACATTATACTTGCATGTAAAGCACCCTTAGTCACAACCAGGTTTCAGTTACCTCCATATTGATCAAATTATATAATCACACTCTGAGATTTGTATGTAAACGTAATTAAAGCTTAATTCACAATTGTAGACAACTTATTGCTTGTTGACATATTAACCAGAACTGGTATCTATGAAATAATTCTAAGTTTTATGTACTTTAAAATCAAAATTAAAAATACTACTGTTATGATAACATTGTTTATGCTATCTAATTTACTTAAACTTCTTGATTTCTTTACCTATACTCCTAGTTTTTTAAAAAAAGTGCTAATCCTGCCCTAGCCAGTGTGGCTCAGGGGTTAGAGCGTCAGCCTGTGGACTGAAGGGTCCCGGGTTCAATTCTGGCCAAGGGCATTTACCTCGGTTGCAGGCTTGATCCCCACCCCGAGTGCAGGAGGCAACCAACTGATGTGTCTCTCTCACATCAATGTTTCTCTCTCTCTGTCTCACCTCCCTTCTACTGTTCTCTGAAAAGCAATGGAAAAAATATCCTCAGATGAGGATTTAAAATAAATAAAATTAATTAATTAATTTAAAAGTGCTAATCCTAAAATTCATTTACTCAATCAACAAATATATATTGACCACCTACTATATACAAGGCACTATGCCAGGGACTGGGGACACAGCCCTGATCCTCGAGGAACTTACATTCTGGGAAGTGAGATAGGAAATAATTATAAAATAAATTATAATAAGTATATATGTAAAAGACAAGAACCATACCGATGTACTGGCCGTAGCACCCTGGAATGTTGTAGGTATATTGTCCTGTAAATCATTTAGTGAAAAGGGGTGGTTTAAATCCGACTCAGCAATAGTCTTTCCAGATGAATTGACTTCTGCCTATAAAAAAGATAACATCCAAGAACAGTGTTACAAGAGGAGATGTACAGGATAACCTACAACCTACTAAATTCCCTTTCTTTAATTTATTTTAATTGGTACTTTAATATCAACATCAATCAGTTAAGTGTTGAACACTTGTGTATCCAACACTATGCTAGGTATTATAGGAAGACCCGTACACAATCCCTGTTCAAGGAGATTTTACTTGGTGAGAGACAAAACTAACACCCATGGTTCATAAACCACAATTCCAAAAATCTCTAAAGTCTAAAGTGTTTTATAATTTTTAGGCAAGCCTGAGATGTGAGGCTATTAACAGTCTTTATTCCACAGTAGTGTAGATATTCCCAGGTTTGCTGATAAAATATTAATGAATTTGATTATGGGGTACTGTCCCAAATCTCACATGAGTGTTAATATATGGTATATGTTTGATATTTTCTAAAATCTGAAATTCTTAAGTACAAAACACATCTGGCCCTAAGATTTTCAGAGAAGCCATTTTATATACAATAAGAATCTTCAGAAGAAAAAAATAACCAACATTTATTAAGTACCTCCTCTTTCAGGCACAATAAAATAGAAGGAAAATTTCTCCCAAGAGCTGGACCTTGGAAGGACAGACAGGATGTAAAGAGGTAGAGAAGAGGGACAAGGTAACATGTTGCTTAATGCAGGCTGACATTTTTTATGAAGCTAATTAAATTATAGAAGTATTTATATGTTTGGGTAAAATATATGCAGAAAAAAAAGGATTTAAGGGAAATTTACCAAAATAATAAGAGCATTTATTTCTTGGGGCTGGGATTATATGATTTTATTTTCTTATTGCTTATCTATATTTTCTAAAATAGCTAAAACTTACTGAGCATCAGGGACAGTTTTAAACGCAATAAAGTATTTTTTTTAATATCTTTATTGATTTCAGAGAGAGGAAAAGAGAGGGGGAGGGAGAGAGAGATGGAAACATCAATGATGAGAGTCACTGATCGGCTGCCTCCTGCACGCCCTCGATTGGGGATCAAGCCCGCAACCGGGGCATGTGCCCTGACCAGGAATCAAACCTCGATTGCCTAGATCCTAGGTCAATGCTCACTTAATCTTCATAAGAATCCCACAAGTAAGTACTGTTACTATTTACAGGTGAGAAAAAGGCACAAAGTGGTTAAGCAATATGTCTGATGTCCTACTACTAATAAGCAGCAAAACTGGGACTTGAACCCTGGCATTATATAGCAGAGTCCATGCTTTTAACCACTATACTTTATAATGCCTTTGTGAATGTATTAGTTTTGTGATAAAAAAATTATTTGTAAAAACCTTATTGCAATAGGACTATATTACTTTACTTCTGAAAGTAAATAAAAGGGCTACATAATTTGAACTTATTTATCAATTTAGAGTACCTTAAAACTGATTTGTCTAGCCAGTTCCTTGGCTTCTTGGTCAGCCTTGCTTGAATTGCTTCCAGATTTTAAAGGCAAAAGGACATCCTTCATGGTGCAGCCACATCCCTCACAACAGAAATCTTGTGATCTGGTAGGAAATAATTTTTTGATAAGTACAAATCAAATGTTAAATTAAGTCAGGACACTCCAACAATGAATGATTAAATTTAAAAGAAAATAACACTGGATAATTCCAAATCACATTTATCTAAATGTAAATTAGACAATTATGGCAATAATTATAGTTCTGAGACATATACTCAAGTTAGGTTTGTATAAAATTTCACGACAATTATATCTCAATATTTTTAAAATCTAACATTAAAGCCCGGGCTTAGATTTCATCATTTTCCTAATATACTATCTAAAGAAAAATAAGCTTTAGATTTATATGACAAAAGATATAAATTGTCTAACAATACTGTCCTCAAGATCATACATAACAAGCCTATGGTAAGCCTATGAAAAAGTCCATTATAAAGCTCAAATTATTTTTAGCAGAAACATACATAAAACAATAAAGAAGCCATTAAAAATAGAATTTACAGGTATTTCCAGGAAAAAACAACACCACTTCACAAATCCTATTAATCTAAATAGCAGTACCACTTGAAAGACAAAAAAACTCATGGAAAATCCAGACTCTGAAATTTATCACTGATTATATTAAGTAAACACTCAATCTGTGAACTAGAATTTCCTAAGATTTATTTGTTTTTCTATGTTTTTATTTTCTCCTCTGTGTTCCAGATATAGCCAAAAAGTGCCCTAAAGTTCACAAGAGTGCTGAGGATTTGTATGATTAGAGGTAAATATGTATATTATATAAAAATATATACTGTTAAATATATATTGTTACATTGCTGAACTTCCTTTTAAAAACTGTTTTATAGTACACCTAGTTCAACATAATAAAATCCTTAGGTCTTGAAGAACATGCTACTTAAATTTATTAAATAGCTTTATGTAAACAAAATATATGTCAAAGTAATATTAATTTAGTATTTATTGATGAGTATCTTTTTTGTTTCACCAGAATCAGCACTGCTATCCATATCCTTTTGAGAATCAGTTGTATACTGCCTTAAAATGTGTCCACTTTTAACTGAGAAGTCAGGCGAAACGTAAAGGAGAATGTTTATTTTTAATATATTAGTCTATCAACAAAAACAGTAATTTACTATGGCTAAATGCAAAATCTAGTTTTTAAAAAGCCTCTAATACAGACTAAGAACCTAGACTATATATACTGACAAGTCTAGAACCAAAAAACAAATTCTTTTTATTTTAACTTGTACATGAACTAAATGAAAGTATCAAGATAGAAAGCCAGCACAGAAAATCAAATAAAACAAATGTTATATATTTGAAGGACATATTATAATTTGTGAATAATAGCTACAAGTAAGGTATATTCCCAGAACTTGGGAATAAGATTTAAAAAGAAACCAAGAAGTCTACCAAACCTTCCAAACGCTAAAATCCCTCTGATTTAACAAACATGTGCAGAGGGCCCAGTGTGGGCTGTACTAGGGTAAAATTTACTATAGGGGTGGGCAAAAGTAGGGTTATAGTTGTTCATATGAAAAATAATACAATAATAAATAATAATACAAGAACTCTGTGTTTGCATACTCACAACATAAGTCTACTTTTGTCTACCCCTATATAATTTAATTCATAAAATATGTTCGAACAGTGGTAGGCAGCAGAGTCCAGAACAAGAAAATTACCAAAATCAAGAATTAGTCTTAGCTCTACTCAAAGGAGAGAATACTTTAAATCTAATGACTAATCTGGGTTATGACAGACTGTACCTGGAAAAAAACAGAAAACAATACCAATGGGAAACGACCACTTAATAAAATCTCCTTTTCTTTATTCCAGATCATTCATTGAGCACTTGCTATGAGCCAGGTGCTATGAAAAGATGGATAAGTGCATTCCCTCCTACCCCTCAAGGAGTTTTTAATCTTGTGGAAAGCTGCATACTAACAAGGGCTCTAGTTCTTTTCCATCTGTATTACTGCCCAAGTGGAGACAAAGGACCTGTACTGTTTTCTAGGAGAAGTTATCTCCCACTGTAGATTGACAGTAACAACTACTTTCTATAACCAATTCTTTAGACTCTGGTGAACCCTGAGTAAACTGGTACAACTGAGTTTCTAAAATAGCAAAACTAAGGCTAGAACCTGTAGCAAAGGTAATTCACAAAGTAAGAGACAGAGCCTATCTCCTAATAGCCATTTTCCAGAACAATATTTGGGTCTTAACAAAGAATGAAATGTAAAACTTACTTTTTGGCAAGTGCTCTTCTTTCTTCAGGTGTGTAATCTAGAGAACCTATGGCTCCCTCTCCTTTTGTTGGCATAAACCCAATGATGGCTAATAATGCTGTTCTTACTGAAATAAAAAGTAAACATCAATCTAAATTGCTTTGTAAAAGGAACTGGGTTTATTCTGGGAAGAGAAAAAAAGATTCAGGCTTTCACTGAAGATGTACAGGTAGGAGGGTTGTAGTAAAATGATGGCCAAAATCTAGACAAGGAAAAGCATTTTTATTATTTATTCAACAATGTCAAATTATTTATCAAAAACAGCTTCAATCTCAAGAAGGTATTATACTTTATAATTATGAATTGACTAAATTTATATAAGATATATTCACTTTAAATTAGTACTCACTACTCCATGAAGGCTGCCAAGTTTCAGGATGATGTCCTGAGATGCTCAAACAGATTTTCTTGCCTACTTCAAATCGTCCATTAGCCTTAGGAATAAATAAGGCATTTAAAAATTATAGATGTGTTTAATGTTTTATACTTTATAAGTATAAATATATTTTACATATAAATAATTTTTAAAGATAATTTTAAAAGAATGTAATCTCTAAGGGGATACAGATTTTTGTCCTCTTATAGACACTCCACAAATATTTGTTGGACTTTGAATGAATAATACAAACTGTTTTTCAAAGTTGTAGCACTTTTTTGAAATTGAATTATACAACTGAAATCTAAACAATTGATACATAAAGATCCCCTGATGTCCTCCTCTGTGCCTAGTATGGTGCTAGGCTCTGTGAAGAATCTAGGAAAAAGACATACAGAGACTAGAATAAAACCTAAGGATTTAGTATCGTCTAACTAGATATTAGTGAGGAAGGCTCTAAAGTGGGAGTAATTTTCAGAAGGATGATACTTTCGTAAGATAGGAACACAAAGGAGGAAGATCAGAGATAATGATTTCAGTTTTGGACATGAATCTATTTTCTTGGTAGGAGAGCTATTGATAATGTCCAGCAGGTAGCTAGAAATACAGACTTGGTGATATCAGAAGAAGATACACATCTTTGGTAATTGATGTAACAGAGGTGATCACTGAAGCCATTTCATAGAAATAAGAAAAAACAGTTGAAGTGTGAACTTGTAGAATGCCCATACTTAGGGGAAGGGGGAGGGGAAGGGGAAAGGAGAAGAGGCATGAAATCAGAATATATGTTTCATATAGTCAGAGAATGTGACTTACTCTCTGCTGCACCCTCAGAGTGATTGACACGTGTTTCATGAATATTTGTTGAATAAGGGTCGGGAAAGAAAGGAAAATTTTCAAACGAGGGAAAGTGAACCAGAAAAAGCAAATATTTTAAATCAGGAGGGCAGGGCTGATTCTCAGCCTCTGGGATAAACATTACCATACCGTTGGTTAACTCCTGAAATATTTCTATACCTGTTGGTGAACAACTGCTGCTCCAACTACCCCCACCCAGCCAGGTTTCCCCATGCACCAGCCCCTCCCCCTAGACTACTTGGCTCTCCCCATGATCTAGCAAATAAAAGTGACTCCTAACACAATAGGGCCCCTCCAAGATCCTGCTCCAGCCCTACCGCTAGCATTACTGATTCTAAATATCACCTAATATTTGTTAAGCTGCTTCTATATGTGAGGAACTTTATAAAGTATGATTATACTTACCACATACAACCCTGTTGACAGATGAGAAAACTAAATTTCAAAGAGATTATGTAACCTGCCTGTGGTGTAACAGACATAGCACTGGTCAGAATCCAGGTCTGTTGGCTCTAAAACTAATGCTCTTTCTACTACACCAAATATAGATAAAAAGCAGCATTAATTCGGTATTTATTAATGAATACCTTTTGTTTCACTATCTGCTACCCCATGAGTGTCAGAAGTTTAACTTAGATGGAACAGGATAAAGACTGAGAAGAGGCAGTGGGATTTCTCAAACTGGTTTTTGAGATTAGTGCTGTGAACATGTATGGAAACCAGACTGCAGCAGGCTAAACTAGAACAAAGATGCCTTGAAGGCTATCAAATTAAAAAACAAGACAACAACATAAATGGTAAGCAGAGATAAAGAAAGATGTTTATGTTGTATTTTGGCTTTTTTCAAGGTTGGGGATAATTAAACACACTTGTAAATAAAAGGAAATGAGGGGAGGAAAGCTAAACAATTAAGACAGGAACTTATTGATGAACTACGTCCCAGAGAAGAGAAGAAATAAATTAGATTAATAATTTTCCTTCACATGGAGATAAAATATGTGAACATAGAGAGAAATTCTAAGATATTAATAGTACTAATACAGCAAACATTTATTGAGGACTCTGTGTCACTTCTTATTCTAATAGCTAAGGGTGAAAAGTGAGAAGTTAAAGACGATGTGATTAAGAGGTGCAATAGCATTAACAATCCTTTACTGGGTACCTACCATGTGCCAGATACTGTGCCTAGCCCTTTGCATACATTAATTCATTGAATCCTAACAACCACAATATGGTAATTATACATTCATTAGCTTCAATAATTCCTATAAATTATTTTTTGGGGAAAAGGATTATAATCGCAAGGCGTGGCTCCCAAAAGCAAAGTTATAATGTCCCACTTTCTTTTTTTAAAACTTTTTAAAAAAAATAACCTTTTTAGAGAGGAAAAGAGAGAGGGGGAGAGAGAGAGAGAGAAACATCGATGCGAGAGTGAAACATTGATCAGCTGTGTCCTGCACTCCGCCTACCGGGGATGGAGCCCACAACCCGGGCAGGTGCTCTAACTGGGAATCAAACTGGCAACCTTTCAGTGCACAGGACGATGGCCGACTAACTGAGCCACACCAGCCAGGGCCTCCTTTATTTCTTAATGTAAATGAGTATGTTGACCATATTTTGCAGCCACCAAGAAGACTTAAACCACAAGCATTCCAAAAAGGCAAGAATTCTTACCGTTAGAAGAATAATGCTTGGTGGTTTCATGGGATACTCTGGTGGTAGTACAATTCGTCCATGATAAACTCCTCCATCAAAATCAGAATCTGGGGGCCCTCTAACTGTGAAGTGCCATTCAAAAAGATTATCCTGAACAAAAACAATAACCAATAAGTAATCAGTAATATTAAAAAATTTGACTTTTTATTAATGACTATTAGAAATATTATTGGGTGAGAAAAAGTGTTTTATATTACTGCTATAACAAAATGTCTGAAAAATTACAAATAAAGCTATTTAATCTAGTTTTCATGTCCCATAAGAGCTAGATCTTTTTTAAACAAATGCATTTTAAAATGTCTGAGCATTGTTATGTACTCATAAATAAGATTGTATATTTAATTAAACTATAAATTAGTCCTTGAATACTAATTGGTGATAATTATTATACAGTTGATTCTTGAATAACATGGGTTTGAATTGTGCAGGTCCACTTGTACTCAATTTTTTTTCCAATAAATACATATAAGTACTGTAAATGTATTTTCTCTTCCTTATGACTTTTTTTTTTTTTAATATATCTTTATTGATTTCAGAGAGAGGAGGGAGAGGGAGAGAGAGAGTTGAAACATCAATGATGAGAGAATTGTCATTGATTGGCTGCCTCCTGCATGCCTCTGACTGGGGATTGAGTCCACAACCCAGACATGTGCCCTGACCAAGAATTGAACCACGATCTCCTAGATCCGAGGCCAATGCTCAACCTCTGAGCCATGCCTGACCAGGGTCCTTATGACTTTCTTAATAACATTTTCTTTTTCCTAGCTTACTTTATTGTAAGAATACAGTATATAATACATATAAGATACAAAATATGTGTTAATTGACTGTTGATGTTATCAGTAAGGCTGCAGGTCAACAGTAGGCTATATTAGTAGTTCAGTTTTTGGGGAGTCAAGTTATATACTGATTTTCAACTGTGTAGGGCTTGGGGCACTGACTCCTGCGTTGTTCAAGGGTCAACTGTATAATCAAATAATTAATAAAAATTTGGATGTTAACAATCTTTTAAAATTATCCCTCAAAGATACCTAAGAGCTTATTTATAAGTGGTTAGTAATATTAATACATATGCTATCAACATCATCTTACCAAGTACTTTACAGTTTGGAAAATATTTGTGCATACATTATCACACTTTATTCTCACTATTACCATGGAAACCAGACTGAACACATTTGAATACCCTCCTTTTACAGATAAGAAGACTGAAGAGAGGTAGAGATGTTTGTACAAAAAGCCCAGACTAGCTACAGAGATTCCTCAAGGGGCTAGGTCTTCCAACTTATAAAAAGTACTGAGTTCTTTCCACTTCCCCTCTTTCCCTCATATTCAAGACCTAAAAGGAATTTAGCATCTGAGACCCATTTTATAGAGATTGGAAATCTGCTTCTTCTTAAGTGTCTGATTCTGAATGGCTAATGAAATACTCAGGAAATATTGGGAGTAAAATATATTAATAAACCACATCAAACACATCTTCAATGATTCAATACAATGAAAAAACAATTTTAAGGAATTTGTTTAAAATATTAAAATCCATATGTAGAAGATGGAGACAGAAACTAACCTCTAAAGGTTGTGCATGATAATGATCTGTTGGATCTTTCAATTCTGCCGCTTCTTTCATTAAACGTTTAACAGCTAAAATAAAATTCATAAGATAGAGACATTTAAAATATACTTTACCAAGTGATTAACACAGATTTACAAACCTAATGAAAAAGTTTCTATTTTAACAAAACATGTTTAGAGAGGACTGGTTCAACTGAATATATGGTAAAGGTTTAATTACGGGATAATAGTAATCATTGGAGGGGGAGAGGAAACAGTAACTAGGCATTAGAAGAGTTATGTATTAAATTAAATATATAGATAAGTCTCATAAAGGCACTATTTTTACTTAATAAGTACTTACATTAACTCATACAATCCTCAAAACAACACTATGAGATAGAAAATTCCCATTTTCCAAACAAAGAAACTTGTCCACGGTCACACAACTAGTAAATGACAGAGCTGGAATTCCAACACAGGCAATACAACTCTACCATGTTCAAATGTCTATATTAACAAAAGCATACACTCAGAACTCATGCTCATGAACACTAAACCCCACCATATTTTTAACCTCTTGGGACTTTCCACTCAATATCTTGCATTAACTTAATGGGACTGTCTCCAGAAGTCACTGAATGCCATAGCCCTAACTGATTTCTTTTGAAATGATTCTTCACCTTAATTAAAACCTCCAATCCACTGACCCCACAACTTTCTTTACCCCACCCACCTATCCCCTATATTCGCTTCCCTTTATCAACACTCTTGGCCTTAGTGCTTCCTCTTTCATACTCCCCTAATAAAATTCAATTCTAGCTGACCCAACCCAAGCATCTTCTTATTTAGTGTCTATACCCAAACAGCTGAGCATTACTGAAGGGGGTAAAAAAGTCACAGAGGCAGGCACATTGTTGCCATTATAGTTACAGTTGTTATTATCAACAACTTCCATTGTGACACAATGCTACCCAATGTTCCTATATTTCACTAGTAAGCCCACTGGCCCACTCTCTCCGACTAGCACCCTAACACTATTTCATACCTATTTACTCAATTCTCATCTCTCTTCTGTTTCACTTCTTTCAGTTCATGGCACAGCCTTTTACTTCTGTGATAAATGTCCATTAGCAGCCTACCACAATCAACAATCCTACCTGTATCTGTACCCTTTTCCCATTCCTACGGGCTCTCAAAAGTCAATCCTTTGATCCCAGCCCCTTCCACCTCAAGCTTCAGGTGCTAAAAAAATGTCAGGATACTGGTGTAGGATAGCAAAGCCATAAAAAAAGACATGTAGCCTAAGACTCCAGGAAACTCTGCTTGAAACCAACTGATGTTGGTGTTATAAGAGAGGTATGCACCAAGATGGGCACCTAATCTGACAGCAGACATTAGAGAAAAGAGATCAGGTACTGACATCTGAAAGAAAGTAGGATTCACGCAGGTGGGTATGAATAGGCAGAGGAAACAATAAAAGTAAAATGTGTAGGGGCACAGCGTGGAAAGTTATCAGGAGAGATTAACTAAGAAGCAACTCCCACATAATATCATAATTCAGTATGTATCAGGTCTTTTGCATAAAGTTTCATTTTAGCCCTGGCCAGTGTGGCTCAGTTGACTGGAGCATCACCGGGTACACTGAAGGATCCTGGGTTTGATTCCCGGTCAGGGCACATACCCAGGTTACCGGTTCAATCCCTGGTTGGGGTGTGTACGGGAGGTAAATGATCGATGTTTCTCTCACATCCATGTTCCTCCCTCCCTGCCTCCCTCCCTTTCTCCCTCCCTCCTTCCCTCCCTCCCCTTTCTTCTCCCTCTAAAACTAATAAAAACATATCCTTGGGTGAGGATTTAAAATTTTAAAAAATTCATTTTAATCAAGGGTTCCTAAGGTTAAAAAAAAAGTTCTTAAGTCACTATCCTATTCAATAACTATTAATATTCTTTTCCACTTCCTACTCCGAGCTAGGCCCCTGTAGGCAGAGACTTTGTTCACTTGATCATCAAATTACTGAATTCATACTAGATGCTATATCTACAACCAAAATGAAAGTTTCAGTTATCAAGGAGTTTACAGTCTTGGGGTGGGGTGGGTAAATACAAAACAGCACGATAAATGCTATATTAGAAACGTATACATTGAAACACTCTTCCTGCAATTTCTAGACACTCCACTTCTCTCTACTCCAGACCTTCCCATATTCTAGCTCCTCAGTTTGCAATGCTGCTCCCACCTCTACTCCCCACCTCATCATCTAGACTGGTTCCCACCAAACCTTTAAGTAACTTACTCAGGAAGGTGTCCTTAACACCCTCCCTTGTCCACCTTCAGAGGAGTGACTCAAGATTCCCATCTGGACAGATAAAAAACCCTGAGGAGTTCTGGGAGGGGAGTGGAGACCAGAAATGCTCTCCAGGTTATTCTAATGCTCTAATGCTTTGGAAGCCACTGCCCTAGACACTAGGTTGAGTGCCCTTACTATAAGCCTTCATAACATTCTGTCTCTTATTTTTTATAAAGTTCGTCTCACTTGTAATTATTTAATACCTGTCTTTCCTGCTAAACAATCTACTTCACTGCAGTCTCCTCAGGACTTAGCACATAGTAAGCACTCAAATATTAGTTGAATTAACTTTTACTATCTTTCCCTAAAAAATCTCTTTCCAAGGATCTGATTAAAAGCAATGGTTTCAAAATTATTTAACAATAAGATAAAATCCTTTGTTCGAAGAAAAACTTAATGAGAACCTCAATATATAAAACAGGTAACAGTTGTTTTGGTTGCTAACAATATGGAAGGGACTTCAAGCTATTTACCATCCCTCCACCTATTCTATCTAAGGAGCTCATGGATCAAGGATTGAAAACCCCTTTGTTTTCAATTAATATTATTAGATATAAGTAAAATCATAGAAGCTGTTATCAAGTTAGTTCAGTTGGCTGCTGTAAGCAATCAAAGGTGCCAAGGAGATTGTTTTTCCTTCATTCCTCATCAGCTAGCTGAATAATGATTAAGCTGACGAGGTCAGTCAGGTTTTATGTCACTTCAGCTGGAGAGAAGAAAATAAACACCAAATAGTACCTCAACCTTATGAGAGATATATGAAAGGATCAGAAATGCTACAAGAATGCATTTAAAGGAACAATCGTTTGCTTAACAACTGAACAGGTTGCTTTTATTAGTTCTTAGGCCACATAGGCACATACCATATGAGAGCTAAAGCTACATAGTCAAATAGAAAGTGAGGTTAGTCTAGTGTTTTCACAACCTATTTTTTCTGAAATAACATATACTATGAATGCCTTAGTGAAAAAGGACATGGACTCTGGGATTAGAACTGCATTAAAATACTGGCTCTGATTCCTTGGGCCTCAATCCTTGAACAAGACACTTAATCCTATTCTGCTTCAATGTTTACATCTGTCAAATGGGAGTCAACAATTTCTTCACATAATTCTCCTTTCCTTCTCACCCATCCCTCTTCCCCAGATCACAAGTTATTAAAGTCAGAAATAAATGGGATATAAGGCCTTCTCAATAATTCTGTTTCAAAATCAGGCCTTGAGCATATGTAGTTGGCCACATAGCATGGCTCCCTGGCTCCCAAAGAGAAATATCACTGCTATAGAATAGTCGAGATTCAAAGTACTGACTGGCAACTACTGCTAGAGCATAGTGTGCCACTCCTGATACTCCATCTCTTGCTACCTCATGGCTACAGAGAAAACTTTTCCCCCATCAGCTCCTCTCTTATCTTTTTTGCAAGCTCATTCAATGGAATTCTCCTATCATGGTGAGATAAAATGTTCCAGGACAGAGAAGAGGGGTGGGGAGCACCTGCATGCCTACTCTTGTTCCTTCTTTTCATGGAGGCCACATGATCACTCTGGATCAAGCTCTAGGCTCCACAGGCCTAGGCATTAGCATTCTGCACATGCCCACGCTAGCTCACTGGGCTTATTTTGTAGTTTGTAGACAAACCTCCAGCTAAGGGGATCTTTTACAGGTCATTGTCTCTCATGCACCTATTTTTTTTAGAAAGCAAGTATCTTGATATCATCAATCTTCAAAGCATGGGTAAAATGCAAAAGAGGCAGGCGAATTGAGGACGTGAACTTAATGTCATGCTCCCCAACTGCCTCTTCCCTGTTCTCATATGAAGGCACTTAAGCAAATATTTAAGGACTAATGTTTCTTCCCAGAAAGGCCCTATAAAGGTATCCATTCAACAAATATTTAAAGAATGTCTGAGCAATGAAAATAGAAGAATGACCAAGACCTTCTTTCCTTCAAAAAGTTCACAGTGAGAAGGACATGAAAACAATTACAACACAAACACTGACCAAATATGTACAAATATAGGGGCTACCTTAGTCTGCCTACAGGAGTTTGACAAGACTGAGCCTTAAAGAAGCCTGAAGAATTAATAGGAATTTCACACAGATTAAAGGGAAGGCATTCCAAGCAGAGGTTCCAACAGGAAACAAGGTATATAAGTGAGAAGAACCGTTCCATCTGGGGACGCTCAGGCAAAGGATAGATGGTGAAAAAGCAAAGGAGCATAGGAGTGGTAGATGAGAAAAGCTAAGATCAAATCATGGGCAGCCCTGTAAGCCAAGCAAAACAATTTACTTTGAACTGTATCCACGGGTATCAGAAAGCTACTGAAAACTTTTCAATATGAGAAGTGATCTAATCAGGTTTTATTTTGTTTTGTTTTCATTGATCTGGTGGCAATAGTGACTGCTTAGATATATGTGTGTCTGCATGTATTGGCACCCATGCTCAAATGCCTGTGTATGTGAAAGACAGTTTTAGGGTAGGGAGTAGAGTAAAGCAGTAGACCAGGAGATCAAAGATGACTCCCATGGGTGCTTGGGTGCTGTCAATCCCTGGGATGAGGAATATTAAGGCAAGGTGCAGGTTTGGAGAAGGAGAGAAAACTGGTAAGTTTGGTGTTTATACCTTGTAGCTATTTTTCTGGTCTGTGGGAAATCTAGGTGAAGATGTTAAATCACCATTAAGTTCTACGTGCACACAGCCTAGGAGAAGGATCTGAATTGTACATTAAAGCTTGAGAATGATTAGCGTGAAGATGCAGTTGACACCAAGGACATGCACAGGGTAACTCCTAGGTTTCTGACAGAGACAGTGTGTGCCTTTGCACCAGTCTCTTATACATGCACCAATCACTCGCTAACTTGCCCATCAGCCCCTTCTGAGGAAAGCTGCTGCAGGAGGTTCTTTGTACATAGGTCTCCCTACTTTGACACCCTATTACATTGGCCAAAGCAGACCCAAAAAAAGAATCAGGGAGCTTGATCCAGAGGCAACTGCTGATAGGCTAGTCAGAGGGCTTATGAGGTGGCCCCATACAGAGCTCTGCCCACAACCACAAGTCCATTCATAAAGAAGTAAGTTTTCCCACCTATAAAATGAACAAATTTACTATCCACATGCTAGCACACCCGCCCTTAACCAGTTATTTGTATTGTCTTATCCATACTTCTAAGACAACTAACTCCACATAAGATGAGAAGAAGGATTATATCTCTTACATAGTTCAGTGTTTTTAACAACTTCCTTTCACGTATACATGACTCTAAAAATATCA